AAAAAAAAAAAAAAAAAAAAAAAAAAAAGCCATTTCTCTATGTCAGGAATGGTTGAATATTGGCAACTTCATATGTATCAATCTCCTGAGCCCTTGGGCAAATCACTTGCCTCCCTATACCTTGGTTTCCTCATCTGTGAAACAGAGATAACAGTAGCCCCTATCACACAGAATTGTGGTGAGCTTTGAATGAACTCATATGAAAGGTGCTTAGAAAGACATATGCTGACACTGGTTATGAATAATTATCCCACCTCCCAGAGTTGTAGGAAGGATGGAGAGGTGGGGTCCATGAGATAGCCTTTGTCACAGGCTGTGTGCCCATCAGCTTGGAGCCACTGTCCTGTCCCTGGGCAAGTCACTGATGACCATGGGCCAAAACAAGGTGTGACTTTGTCCTGTCCCTGGGCAAGTCACTGATGACCATAGGCCAAAACAAGGTGTGACTTTGTCCTGTCCCTGGGCAAGTCACTGATGACCATAGGCCAAAACAAGCTGTGCAGTTTTGTCACTGCTTGGGGACACCCTTAGGGGCTCTGCCCCCTCAGCAGCTAACTCCATAGGTGGGTCTATGTCTCAGTCTTCGGAATTTGTTGTGGTTTGATGAGGCTGATGCTAACTCCTTCTCACACTGCTACTGCCTGGAGGCTGAGAATGACAAGCCTCATAGGACACCTTAAACAGTGACAAAGGGAGGCAGAAGGGAGCCTTTGGCCTCCCTAAGACCAAAAGGAGGTTGAAAGGCTGGCCTGCTCTCTGCCCACCTGTGCCCTGGCGGAAGAGAAGTCTTTTCTCTTGCCTTACAAAAAGATGATGTGTGGGCTAGAGGCCACCTTGGAAACATCTGCATCCTCTCCTTCCTGTTCACCTACCCTGCTCAGCAGGACAGGGAGAAGCTGCTTTAGGTCCTGCTACCCACACTGGTCTCTTTCTATCTCCTCCCCTTCTCTCTAGTCTCGCATGGTTCGGAATGAGACCCCCTACTTCATCTGGACCACTCGGCGGGACGTGCTTGACTATCGCTTCCTCTCTAAGGATCAGATGATAAACCACTACGCCCGGGCTGGCTCCTTTACCACAAAGGTAGGCTCCCCAGAGCAGGCAGGGCAGCTTCCAACTCCTTGCCCTTGGGCTGGCAGCCCTGCTTCCCACTCTCCTTGTCAGTAAGAGGAAGTTCTCAGTACAAGAGGAAGTATATAATTCAGATTTGGAGTCTGACCAGTATCTGACTGGTTCAGATCCAACCCCTGTGTGGTATCTGGCATGTACAGACATGTGACTAAAATGGGCTCCAGCATTCAAATGGGTCTGGAGGTAGAACAGTTACCAAATCCAGTGATAGTGAACAAGTAGGCTCCTACCTCCTAAGCCGAAGATATCTGGCTAATGGACCCATTCTGTCTTACCTAGGTTTCTTTGTTTTTGTTTTGTTTTATTTTGTTTTTGAGAAAAGTGCAGTGGTGCAATCTCGGCCCACTGCAACCTCTGTCTCCTGGGTTCAAGCAATTCTCCTGCCTCAGCCTCCTGAGTAGCTGTGACTACAGGTGTATGCCACCACATCCGGCTGATTTTTGTATTTTTAGTAGAGACAGCTTTTCACCATGTTGGCCAGGCTGGTCTCAAACTCATGACCTCAGGTGATCCACCTCCCTCAGCTTCCCAAAGTGCTGGGATTACAGGCATGAGCCAGCATGCCCAGCTTACCTGGGTTTCTTAGCAAGTAACTTTGCCTCTCTGAGTCTCAGTTTCCTCACCTTTCAATGAGAATACCAGTAAGGCCTATCTTCTGGGGTTGTGGCAAGGACGAAGGGCTTTATAATAATGACCTGCCATTATATTTTTGATGTGGGTTAGGAAGGATTCTAGAGGAAGCAGCTCTTTTTTTGTTTTATTTTTAAGAGATGGGGTCTTGCTATGTTGCTCAGGCTGGTCTTGAACTCCTGGCCTCTGGCCTCAGGCAATCCTCCCACCTCAGCCTCCCAGAGTGCTGGGATTACAGGTGTGAGCTATCGCACCTGGCCTTGGCAGCTCTTTTAAGAATGTGAAAGGGTGGACAGGAGGGACGTCAGACATTCTTGGCAAAGGATATCACCCAGGCAAACATATGGTGATAGATGTGAGCAAGTCAGACCAAGCAAGTGGCGCCAAGGCTCTGAGAGCATCCAGGTGGGATGCTTTCTGAGCTGTCTGGGTGTGTGATGAGTGTGGGCAGTCCTGTCCTGCCCCCTCAGCGGCTAACTCCATAGGTGGGTCTATGTCTCAATCTCCGGAATTTGCCATGGTTTGATGAGGCTGATGCCGACTCCTTCTTCCCACGCTGCTACCGCCTGGGGGCTGAGGATGACAAAAAAGCCTTCATAGGTAAGGAGACCCCCAGCCCCATGCCTGGACCTGAGGCTGAAGGAGCAGGGCTGAAGACCTGGCTCATATTGAGGAGCAACAGGATTCTCTTCATGCCCTCATCTGCCCCAGCAGTCTTCCTTCCCTACCCTCAATCTTTATCCTTCCCTAATGTGCCCTCCCTTAATGAGCCCCTTAGCTTGGTCAACGCTGACCTCCAGAAAAGCTCAGGTAGCATGGTTTATATTGTAGAGCGGGTTCTAAAAGTTGCTCAGTCCCTTGAGTTTAGAATCCAGAACAGATTCCAGGCTTATGTCAAGTTCCACTAGTTGAATTGGGTTCCAAAAAAGGCAGCAGGCTTTGGGTTTCTAAGGCAGACTAGGTTCCAATTCCACAGTATGTTCTAAATTCAGGTTAGAATTTGGATCCAGATTCTGTGCCAGGTTTAAATTACATTCGAAATCTGAAATAGGACACAGTCTGGTTCTCGGGGTAGAATAAGTATTAAAAATAGATCATGAACAGATGAAATAAATCAGACAGTGGGTCCAGGCCAGATTCTGAAGGTAGAATATGAGCCAAGTCAGGTAAGATTTGGGATTTGGTTCCACAACTGAAACAGGAGCAAGTTCTAAACTCAGGCTCTAGAGTCAGAAAAGGTAGAGTCAGGTTCCGGATCCAAAATGGGGCAAGTCATGATCAGGTTCCGGAACCAGAACAGGCCTCAAGCCTAGAGGCTGAGCAGGGTATCCCATGCCCCGGGAGCAGAAGACTTCTGGCTGACAGCTGCCCGCAACGTTCTCAAGCTGGTGGTAAAGTCTGAGTGGAAGTCATACCCTATACAGGCAGAAGAGGAAGAAGCCACAGGTAAGTACTGTGGTTATCTCCACTCTCCCACCCATTTATCCTCCACCCATCCGTCCTTCCACTGATCTGCCCATCTACCTGTCTATTCATCCACCCACCTACTTGTTCATCTACACATCTGTGTATGATTCACATCTACCCATCCATCCATCCACCCACCGATGTATCCATCCATCCATTCACCCATCCACCCACTTATTCACCCACTCTTTGATCTACCGATTTACCCACCCACCCTTCCACTCATCCTTCCATCCTCTCACCTGTCACCCTTTGTTAATCTCTTCATTCACCTACCTGACATTAGCTTCATACTCCCGGTCCAGCTATCCACTCCCTGCCTACCTGTCCTTCCACAGGTCCGTCAACCCATCTCTCTACCTCCTATTCTATTGTCCTCTCCCCTACCTATCTGTCCTCCAGTCCATCCACTCATCCATTTTTCTGTCCCAGGTACCTAGACACTTGTCTTCTCATCTGTGTGTTAGTTGATCCACTCCTCATTCAGCCCTCCCATGGGCCTGACATGTGGCCGAGCACCCTGGAGAGGGCTTCAGGTCTCTGAGGAGAAGGAAGCAGTGAAACCGGGCTTTACACATGGCCTGAGGACACCTTGGGCCTGAACATAAGGAACAGCTGGGATTGGAGGGGGACACAGAGGAATGCTCACTATCACTGCATGCCAGCCAACCACTGCCTGGCCTTTCCCTTTCTGGATTTAGCTCCTGTCTCCAGGCTCCTAGTCCTGTAATCCAGGGACCCATCAGCGAGGGATTCAGGGAAGTAGAGGCAGCTCTCCAGGAAGGAAGACAGTCCTGTCTCTTCCAGAGGGAGATCTCCCCATTGCTGTCTTTTGTGTGTGTCACGTACAAGGAAGGCTTGGTTGTGTGCCAGGATAAGGGGTACAAGGGCCTCGGGTGTGGCCAGAGACCCCGTGCTTAAGCTTTTATGGTATAGGTCAGGCTGAGGGCCTTAGCTGTATATGAGGATCTTTAGAGCATTGCGATGTTCAGGGATGAGTCAGGTTTGTGGGTGTGCATGGGGTCTTCTGAAGGGTCAGTTTCTGTAATCACTTTCAGGTGTGTGTCAGGGCCTTGTACAGTAGCAGTGCACACAGAGGTCAGTGTTTCTGTGGGCTAAGGGTTGTAGCTCTTTATCAAGATTCTGGGAATGGGTCTGGATTCCTGGTGTGTGGACTTAAGGAGCTGTGTCAGACTTGGGGGAGGGGTATTCATGTATAACTGAGTTCACAAAGGCCAAAGCTCCCAGGTGCATTTTAGGCAGAGCCTCAGGTGTGTCAGAGGTCCCAGGGGCAGAGAGGCTGCAGGTGTGTGCCATGGCTATAGGTGCTGTTAGACGCCTTGGGGACACTTAGGGTGGAGCCTTAAGTGAGTGACAGGTCCTGGGACAGTGGGAGCTAAGGGCAGGTGCTAGAGTTGCAGTGAATTTAGAGCAAAGCCTCAGCTAAGTGACACATCCCAGGGCAGTAGGGGATCTATCTAGGTTCGTGCTGTGCCTCAAGTAAGTGATAGGCCTTAGGACAATGGGGGCTGTGGCATGTGTCAGATTACCTGCCTTGATGTGGGATCATGACAGGCCCCTCCCTATGCGCAGGAGACAAGCAACCCAAGAAACAGGAGAAAAACCAAGTGTCGGTGTCCCCAGAGTTTGTGGATGAAGCTCTGTGTGTGTGCGAGGAGTATCTTAGCAACCTGGCTCACATGGACATCGACAAGGACCTGGAGGCCCCGCTGTACCTCAGCCCCAAGGACTGGTCCCTCTTCCTTCAGCGCTACTACCAAGTGGTCCAGTGAGTCCCCTGCAGCTGGGACTTTGGGCTGTGGGCAGGTGCTTAGGGACAGACCCTCTTTGTCTCATGCAGCCCCCGCTCCTTCCCGAAGCCTCTGGCTCTTGTTTGCCCTGCTGCTCTTCTGCTCGGGAACCCTCAAGGACTCCCACTGCCTCCATGATAGGGTCTGGGCCACTCTTTCTGATTCTTGGCATAGCATAGTCACTAAGAGCATGTGCCGCCAAGTGGACAGCACCTTGCCCAAAGTGTGTGCACAGAGGTTAATTCTATAGGAAGTAAATAGATTTTATGAAAAGAGGGCTTTTGTGGTCCATCACATTGGGAAAACATTGGATTAAGCAGTTAATTAGAGGCTTTCCTGGTGCAGGACTCTTTGGAACCTATAGGTGGTGCAAGCCTATAGAGAGTGTGTGCAGCATATCCTGTACTTAAGGGAGCCCAGTGCCCTGCCTCCCCGCAAGCATTCTGAGTGGCAGTGTTTTCAGAACACACTTTGGGAAAAGGTTCTTAGGTAGAGGAAGGGAGGATCAGGGTGAGCCTGGTGCTGCTTTAGGGAGATTCCATTCAGCAGAAGCATGCAGGAGGGACTAGAGGCAGAATAGCACTAAGGCAGAACACACAGTAAGCAATTTTTGAGCAACTACTATGTGCCAAGGATTATGCCAGGTTCCAGAAATGAAGTGTAGCCCTTGTTCCCAACTGGGACACAGTAAAGCTACCCATCTTAAATTAAGAGTTATCAAGGTGGCCAGGAGCGGTGGCTCACACCTGTAATCCCAGTACTTTGGGAGGCCGAGATGGGCAGATCACTTGAGGTCAAGAGTTCGATACCAGCCTGGCCAACGTGATGAAACCCCATCTCTACTAAAAATATGAAAATTAGCTGGGATGGTGTCACACTCCTGTAATCCCAGCTACTCAGGAGGCTGAGACAGGAGAACTGCTTGAACCCGGGAGGCAGAGGTTGCAGCAAGCTGAGATCATACCACTGCACTCCAGCCTGGATGACAGAGTGAGACTCTGTCTCAAGAAAGAAAAAAAAAATCAAGGCTTAGAACATTAATTGGAAAATATATGAGTCCTTTTTATTTCTGGTATGTAGGGGCAAGTTCTAGAGGGCTATAGGACACTCTCTAAAGTTGGGATTACATAAAATATTGCATCATATAATAGACGTACACAGTGTTGAATGGTTCAGTACAAATGACCAGCATTCATTCATTTCTTCAATATTTTACTTATTTATTTATTTATTAGTGTGTGTGTGTGTGTGTGTGTGTGTGTGTGTGTGTGTGTGTGTATGGCAGAGTTTTGCTGTTGTTGCCCAGGCTAGGGCGCAATGGCGCCATCTCAGCTCACCACAACCTCTGCCTCCCGGGCTCAAGCGGTTCTCCTAACTCAGCCTCCCGAGTAGCTGGGATTGCAGGCATGTGCCACCATGCTCGGCTAATTTTATTTTTTATTTTTTTAGAAGAGACCGGGTTTCTCCATGTTGGTCAGGCTGGTCTCATACTCCTAACTTCAGGCGATTCACCCACCTTGGCCTCCTAAAGTGCTGGGATTACAGGCATGTGCCACCATGACTAGCTAATTTTATGTTTTTAGAAGAGACGGGGTTTCTCCATGTTGGTCAGGCTGGTCTTGTACTCCTGACTTCAGGTGATTCGCCCACCTTGGCCTCCTAAAGTGCTGGGATTACAGGTGTGAGCCACCACACCCGGCAATATTTTATTTCTATTTTTTTGAGACAGAGGCTGGAGTGCAGTGGTGCAGTCTTGTCTCACCGCAACCTTTGCCTCCCAGGCTCAAGTGATTCTCCCACTTCAGCCTTCTGAGTAGCTAGGATTATGGGTATGTGCCACCAGGCCTAGCTAATCTTAGTGTGCTTAGTGTGATATATATATATATATGTATATTTGTAAAGACATGGTTTTACCACATTGACCAGGCTGGTCTTGAACTCCTGAGCTCAAACACTCCTCCCATCTTGGCCTCCCAAAGTGCTGGGATTACAGACGTGAGCCACTGTACCCAGCCTGATCCATTCAATATTTACGGTTATGCTTCTCAATTTAAAAAAAAAAACAAAAAAAAAACAAATCCGCTGGGCATGGTGGCTCACACCTGTAATCCCAGCACTTTGGAAGGCTGAGGTGGGTGGATCACGAAGTCAGGAGTTCGAGACCAGCCTGGCCAATATGCTGAAACCCCATCTTTACTAAAAATACTGGGCATGGTGGTGTATGCCTGTAGTCCCAGCTACTCGGTAGGCTGAGACAGGAGACTCCATATCAAAAAAAAAGAATCCATCTCAAAAACAAACAAACAAAAATATCTGCCTCCCCAGCCAGTTGTTGTTTTTCTAATACTGGATTTTAAGAACTAAGCCAGCCAGGTTTTCATCAAGGCTGACTTTTCATTAAAATACTGGTGTTTTTTCTTTTCACTAACTATAAAATCATATTGTCATGTCGAATATACTTTTTCAAATTACACGTGCTCCTGCCACTCCTGTGTGACATTTTTCTGGGCCACATCACAGACTACTGTACTGAGTAGATACTTCATGCTACGGGCCACAGAGAATTTTTTTCAGGATGTTAAGTGTGAGTACCCCTGGGAGACCTTGCCAAGCCCCCTGCATCTGGCTGTCCCTGTTCCTGGCACTGCCCCAATGACTGCTGCTGCCTTCTTAAAAAAGAGCAAGTTTTCCATGACTGGTAACATTCAAGATGCAAAAGTATCACAGAGTTAGCTTCCTCTGAATAGGAGACTCCTGTCCTATTCAGTCAGAAGAAAAGAAATGGGAGAGTCTGGATCAGACACGATCTGGGATATTTTGTGACTTGGTTTAGTTCAGGACGTTTTCTGTCCTGTAGAGAACAGGACGTTTTCTGTCCCTCTTTGTTCATGAACCCCTGTCTGTGCAGTCCAGTTGCTGAGGCAAGCTCCTGCCAAAGTACTTGCTGAGGCAGCCATTCATTCATTGAGCAAACTTTTAGGGAGCACCTGCTGAGTGCCAGGTGTGGTGCTTGGGGATGGGGAATAGAGCAGAGAACAACTACGAAAAATGTTCCTGCTCTTATGGAGTTTACATTCTAGTTAGGGGATTCAGACAATTACCAAATAAGCAGATGTGTCAGGTGAGGGTAAATGATGAGGAGAAAACAACAAGAAAAGGTGTGATACAGATGTGCTTGAAAGAAATTAGTTTAACATTGTATCAGCCAATGTTAGGCCCAGATTTAAGAGGGGAATGAACCCCAAAAAGCACCTATAGGTGAAGGAATCAGACAGGACAGAGTTTGAATCCCGGCAGAACCATTCAACTCTCAGTGTATGGCCTTGGGTAAGTCCCTTAACTCTCAAAGCTTCAGTTTGCTTTTCTTTT